CCCCTGTGGACACATTCCCATTACCCCCACCCACCCCACCCCACCCCCGCCAAAAGGGAGAGTGAGCAGCGGAACACATGCTGCAAATAAGAACACCGAGGGAGGGAGGAGGGAGGGAGGGAGGGAGGGAGGGAGGGAGGGAGGATCCCTGGGTGGCCCAGCGGGTGGGCGCCTGCCTTTGCCCCAGGGCGTGATCCTGGAGGCCCGGGATCGAGTCCCGCATCGGGCTGCCCGCAGGGAGCCTGCTTCTCCCTCTGCCTGTGTCTCTGCCTCTCTCTCTGTGTCTTTCATGAATAAATGAAATCTTAAAAAAAAAAAAAAGAAAGAAAGAAAGAAAGAAAAGAATACCGAGGGAGTGACGAATACGTTGCCAGAACACAACCCCACTTACTCCATCACGCCGCCTCTCCCTCTCCGGCCTCAGAGCATCTTTCCCGAAGGCCGTCCTTCCCACTCCCGGGCAGCAGCCCTCGCGGCCCGGCCCCGACCCAGGCCCGCGGTCCCCGCCGGCCCCGCCCGGCCCCGCCCGGCCCCGCCGGCCCCGCACGCCCGGCCCCGCGCGGCGGGAGGGAGCCCGGCCGGAGGGAGCGAGCGAGCGCCCGCCCGCCGCCCGCCGCCCCGCCGCGTCCCCGCGCCGCCCTCCCGCCCCCCCGGACCGCGCCCGCGGGCGGCGCCCCCACACGTCGCCCCAGCCGGGCTCCGGCCCCCTGTCGGCCGCACCCCGCGCGCCGCGGCTCGCGCACCCGGGACCCGCCGCAATCGCCTCGCTGCGGCCCACCGTCCGGCCCGCTCGGCCCCGCTGCCCGCAGCCCCTCGCCGGCGCCGCCACCTCACCCGCGGCTCCGCGGCCACGGTTTCCGGACGCTCACGTGACCCGCCCGCCCCCGGAGCGTGCTGGGAGTTGTAGTCCGACCGCGGCATCACCTGCGGGCCGCCGGGGGCGGCACGGGGAGGTGGAGGGAGGCGAAGGGGGGAGGGAGAGGGAGGGGCGAGGCCTCGGTGAACCCGGCTGCTGGGCTGGAGGAGGGGGCGATAGCCAGGAGTGTAAGCTGGAAAAAGGCAGTGAGAGAGAGATGAAATACAACTTGAGAAGTGCTGTACAGGTCTTTTTTTTTTTTTTTTTTTTTTTTCAGAAAAGCTTAATTCTGCTCTTTCTTTTTTTTAAACAGATAATCCACCTTTTATTTTATTTTTTTTTAATTTATTTAAGACAGAGAGAGAGAGACAGGCAGAGGGAGAAGTAGGCTCCACGCAGGGAGCCCCACGTGGGACTCGATCCTGGGTCTCCCGGAGCAGGCCCTGGGCTGAAGGCAGCGCTAAAGGGCTTAGCCACCAGGGCTGCCCTCTGCTTTCTTGTAAAAAGTAACATGCTGCTAGGTGTGCTACTGACCAGCCAACAATAAGGGCGTATGCTTTAGATTTTTTTCCCCCAAAGAATATATTTATTTCTACTGCTTTTTTTGTGTGTTTTGTATTACATACCTCCATAAAAGTAATATATTTTTTTATTTTTTTAATTGGAGTTTAATTTGCCAACATATAGCATAACACCCAGTTATGCTTTACATTTTTGTTTAAGTTAATTAAATGACGTGGCCCATGCAGGCAGGGCCAGTAATCTGCCGCCATCATTCACCATTCTGCCCTCCACTCCACCCACCCAAATAGATGGATGTTAAGATCCTGACAGCCTCTCGCAAAAATTAAAGGCCTTAAGACCCGGGACTTGCAAGTAGAGTCTGCTGCCCTCTTGGGCCCTCTTTCAACTTGTTGGGGAAACAGTTTGTTTTAAAATCTCCCAACCCAGAAAATCTCTCTACAAAGACAGCAGGGAAAGGGAAGAGTTTTACTATTAGATAGGCATTAAAGTAGAATGTGATGCTTATGGGATGCCTGGGTGGCTCAGAGGTTTCAGCGTCTGCCTTTGGCTCAGGGTGTGATCCTGGGGTCCCAGGATCAAGTCCCACATCTGACTCCGTGCATGGAGCCTGCTTCTCCCTCTGCCTGTGTCTCTGCCTCTGTGTGTGTGTATACATATATATAAATATGTGGAGGGGGCCCCTGGCTGGCTCAGTTGCTGGAATGTGCAACTCTTGATCTTGAGGTGGTGAGTTCAAGCCCCATACTGGGTGTTGATACATCAATAAATATATTATTACATAATATAATATATAGTAGAATATTATTCAGCCTTTAAAAAGAATGAATTTTTTTTGGATTTTTATTTATTTATTTATTCATGAGAGACACACAGAAAGAGGCAGAGACATAGGCAGAGGGAGAGGGAGAAACAGGCTCCTCGCAGGGAGCCGGATGCAGGACTCGATCCTCAGACCCAGGATCACACCCTGAACAGAAGGCAGACGCTCAACCACTGAGCCACCCAGGCATCTCAAAAGGAATGAAATTCTGGCACATGCTACAATACAGAGGAACCTCAAGGGCATTATGCTAAATGAAATAAGCCAGTCGCAAAAGGATAAATATTGTATGATTCCATTTACATGAAGTACCTGAAATACCTGGATCAAATTCATAGGGAGCGAGAGTAGGATCATGGTTACCAGAGGCTGAGAGGGAAGAGAAATGGGAGGACAAATGGGAGTTATTGTTTACTGGGTAGAGTTTCAGTTGGGAATGCTGTAAAAGTTCTGGAGATGGATAGGAGTGATGATTGCACAACAATGTGGATATATTTAATGCCTTTAAACAGAACCCTTAAAAATGGCTAAACTGAAGACACCTGGGTGGCTTAATCAGTTGAGCATCCAACTCCTGATTTGGACTCAGGTCATGATCTCAGGATCATGAGATTGAGTCCAAGTCGGGCTCTGCACTCAGCACGGGCTCTGCTTAAGATTCTCTCCCTCTCCCTCTGCCCCTCCCCGCCTCCCACTGCTCTCTCACACTCTCTCTCTCTAAAAAAAAGGACATACTGTGTAAAGTGTCCATATTGTAAAACATATGTGTGTGCATGTACATATATGTGTGTATGGATGTGTGGAGTGGGTGTGAATAAAATAAGTACACAACCTGTGTCACTACCACCCAGGTCAGGAAGCCCAGGCCATGCTCTTTGCACTCATAGTCGTGTTGGTGGAGAGGGTCCGGTGGAAAAGGTCAGAACGGGGGAAGGAGAATCTCTCTCTCTCTCCCTAACTTCCATAACCACCTAGACATTGTATTTTTTTTAAAGATGTAATTGATAAAAAAAAAAAAAGATGTGATTGATTTATTCATGAGAAACACACAGAGAGAGAGAGGCCAGACACAGGCAGAGGGAGAAACAGGCTCCATGCGGGGAGCCCGATGTGGGACTTGATCCCTGGACCCCGGGATCACACCCTGAGCCAGAAGCAGGACACTCAACCCCTGAGCCACCCAGGTGTCCCTAGACATTGTACTATTTGACTTCTACTTCTAGATGTTCTCTAAGCACCAGGGCTGAGTCAGTTGACTTTTTTTTTTTTAATTCCCCAGTAACCATTACCAGAAGAAGAAACCATTTTGACACCTAGCCTCACTGACATTAACATCTACCAGGTTTTATTTCCTGCCTCCTGCCCATACCGAGTGGGGGATCTTGCCCCATATTTCATTTTCAATTCACAGACAGATGACTGTGGCTTCCTGAATGACAATGTGCAGCAGCAGCATTTGGCAGTGCCTTTTCTTTTCTTGCTCTACCTGCCAGCATTGGGCTTATTACTCAAAAGAGGGGTTCCCGGGATCCCTGGGTGGCGCAGCGGTTTAGCGCCTGCCTTTGGCCCAGGGCGCGATCCTGGAGACCCAGGATCGAATCCCACATCGGGCTCCTGGTGCATGGAGCCTGCTTCTCCCTCACCCTGTGTCTCTGCCTCTCTCTCTCTCTCTCTCTCTCTCTCTCTCTGTGTGTGTGACTATCATAAATAAATAAAAATTTTAAAAAAAGTTTAAAAAAAAAAAAAGGGGGTTCCTAAAGAGTGATGCATAAATGGAATATGGGTAAGAGAAGTTATAATATAAAGGTTTTCTGAAGGAATCCTAGAAAGAAATGCTCTTGGAGAGTGAATAAATCCTCTTCGATTTCAGTGCTTCTCAATCTTTCTAGACCTCAACCCAAAATGTAAGAGATACATTTTACATCACCTGCATACATTCATGCATGGATACAACTGACCCAACCATTATACAAAACAGTACTTAGCCTCAACCGCATGAGATATACTCTGGGATTTTGTCCCACTTTCTTCTGTAAATATGCTGGTGGCAGGGGCACCTGGTTGTCTCAGTCGGTATTGCCAACCGACTCTCAGTTTCAGGGTTGTGAGTTAGAGGCCCACGTTAAGCATGAACTGTCTTTAAAACAAAATTGCCACCCACAAAAATTGATTTCATGATTCCTTAATAGGTCTCAGCCCACAGTTTGAAAACATCATACCCATCTAAACATTTTATCAGTCTGGTATTTCCGTTTCGCACATTGTAGCGTAACTGCCTACACTCACATCCTACATTTCAGAGAAAATCTAGTCCCTGAGATCTGACAAGTGGTGACTCTTCCAGATTCTGCGAGAGCAAAACTTAAGGAAAACTCACCTCAGCCTTCTGCTTCTGCTGCCAACAGGAGACTGATAAACTCAAGGTTTTCCAGACCTAAAAATTAACCTTTGTTCTGCGGTAGACTTTTTTGAGGGAGGGAAACAGGAATGTTTTCCAGCTCTCCCTTTCCGTGCAAGTTCAGAATTGTTTGGGGGTTTTGTTTTGGTTTTTGGTTTTGGGGTTTTTTTTTTTTTTTTTTTGGTTTTTCATCTTCTCTTGGATCTCCTCCCTTCTCTCAGTGGCTCTTCAAAGAGAGTTGTTCAAGTCCACGAAACAATGGAATGACTCAAGACCCAGATCTGTAACCTCCTTGACCTTGCCGCCCTCTCAGCTAGCCATCCCCCCCACCCCCAGCCAAACGAGGGACCCCAGGAAAAACTGGGGGCAAAGGATGCAAATAAGAAGGGGAGTAGAGAGAAGGAAGGGGGAGCTAGGCGGCTAGTCCTGTTCCTTCTGCTTTGCCGGGTGGCGGTCGCGGGAGGGAAGGCTGGCTGCGTGGGGACTGCTGGCCAGCGCCTCACCTGTGCTGCGCCCCGGGCTCGCGCTTTCCTTTCACTTTCTCAGGTCGCCAACCCCCGACACCTGGGGACCCAGCGACAGCTTCCACCGCAGCCCCGGTGAGGCGGGAGGAGGAAAGGCACACGGAGGACGGAAAGGGAAAAAACTAGGAGCATAAAGTAAACATTACCTGCGAGCAGAGGTGAGAGAGCGAGCCAGGTAAGCAACAGGTGAACCAGGAAGGTGAAAGCTACGGGATGCGGGATGGAGGGCGCCTGCGGTGGGCACTGCTCATTTCTCCTGGGGGGTGGGGGGGCGCAGGCCAAGGTATGGAGGGCTTTTGTCCCAACCCTGAGCCTGAGAACTTACTTGGGGGAGGGGGAATGTGGAAGGAAAATTCTTGCTCAAGTTACAGTGATATGACACCGGAAGTGGAATGGCCTTTATTTGAAAAGCCAGAAGGGAAAAAGTGGTTTCGTTGTGTCTTTTGTCTGCTGGGTCATTTGCCATAGGTGACTTCAGAGGCGTCCAAGAGAGGCATGGGATACTTCTTCATCCATTTAAAGCTGCTCAGGGTCTTCACACACGGTTATGAATCTGGGTGCTTTTTAAAATTGTGTGATGATACAGATTTGTCCTTTCCTGACTTTAGAGAAGACCAAAAAATGAAACTGGAAGAAATGGGGAAGGGTGTCATAAGGCAGGAGCAATGTGAAGCATGTCAAATTTAATCATCAAAGGGATAAGTTTCCATGTATTTTTATGAAACATTGGATGAGGAGACCCAACACAACATCATGTGAAGAACAGTTGAAAGGCCCAGGGATATTTGCCTCGAGCGGATATGCTTGCTGCCTCAAATATCTGATGGGCTGTCATGTGGAATAGGAATCTGCCAAGTGCTGGCACAGCACGAGGGGCAACAGATGGAAACCCCAGGGAGATGGAGTTCAACCCCATGTAAGTTAGAGTTGGACATGCCAAATGGATTTTTTTTTTTCAGGAGACTGAATTCCTTGTAATCAAAGATATCAAAGCACAGGTGTTTATTTAAGCAGAAATGCTGAGGTGGGAATGAAGTTTCAGGGGATTGTGTTGATCACTGTTCCCCAAACCCAGAGGGTCATCAGAATCACCCACAGCGCTGCGTGTGCCTGTGTGTGTGTGGTGTGTGCGTGCATGTGTGCGTGTCTGGGTGTGTCTTTAAATATGTTTAGCAGATCTGGGATAGGCTCTAGGAATGTATCTTTCTAATTATCTCCTCTAGTTGGTTCTGACATAACCAGTTAGTTTGGAAAACACTATCTTTAGAAACGTTATTTCCCAGACTATAGTAAAATATGTCAGAAAACACTTGAAAACCATAGTTTTCATTTTGCGTTGGTTTTTTTAAGCGTATTTATTTTTAAGTAATCTCTACAGCCAACACGGGGCTTGAAGAACTCACGACCATGAGATCAAGAGTCACATGCTCTACGGACTGAGCCAGCCAGGTGCTCCACATAGTTTTCATCTTAAATATTCTCCAAATCCTAACTTCCTGGTCAAGAAATCCAGAAGAAAAAGGCCACGTCACTCTTCCCCAAACTGACTTCTCTGTCAAATCTTGTCGGTCCTTGTTGTTGGTTGCCTGGACGTTCTGTCTTCCACAGTTGGGGGGGGGGGTTTCCTCCTCGTGTGAAGCGGAGACAGGATGACACCTAGGCATGACCTCCGCCTCTGCCATCCTCTGGTTCTGGGCACTTGATAGAACGTGGGGGATCTCTTGGCCTCAGTGACTAAGATTTTAGTGAATGCTGTCATCCAATAGTGTTGCTTGTGTCCTGGGCCCAACAGAGAATGACAGTTAAACTCTTCATTTCAAAGGAATGCCAACTCATGTAGGCAGGTGTGTGCCTGTGGGGGAGGTTCCCTCGCACCTGGCCAGTAATTAGTGTCTTTCTCCCACAAGAATGCAAGTCCTCTGAAGGAATAACCTCCCTTTCCCTCGTCCTGTCCTACATCCCAAGTGCCTAGAACAGTGCCTCATTCACTAAAGAAATGCTAGATTCCTTTTTTTCTTCCTAGGTCCGTTCTAGGTGGCAGGAGCCATGCAATTCTCCAGCTCATCCAGAGCAGCAGATGAGAATTTTGACTATTTGTTCAAGATTATCCTCATTGGGGACTCCAACGTGGGGAAGACGTGTGTGGTTCAGCATTTCAAATCTGGGGTCTACACAGAGACACAGCAGAACACGATTGGGGTGGACTTCACTGTGCGCTCCCTTGAGATTGATGGCAAGAAAGTAAAGGTTAGAAAGGCACAGGGTTGGCTCCTCTTCTCTTGGCTAGAGTGCTTAGGTTGTTTTTGTTTTTTGTTTTTTTAAGATTTTATATATTTATTTGAGAGAGAGAGAGAGAGAGCATAAGCAGGGGGAGGGGCAGAGGGAGAAGTAGACTCCCCACCGGGCAGGGAGCCCTATGCAGGACTCCATCCCAGGACCCCGGGATCATGACCTGAGTCAAAGGCAGATGCCCAACCGAGTCACCCAGGTGCCCCTTAGCTAGAGTTCTTAACATCAAAACACATCCCTGGGGAATAAAGGATTTAAATATAAAAGATGAAAGCATAAGAATACCAGAAAAAAAATCATTGGAATATTTATCTTTATCATTGTGGAATGGAGAAATTACCTTTTTTAAAAAAAGATTTTATTTATTTATTTGAAAGAGAGAGAGAGCACAAGCAGGGGTTGGGGGGGCAGAGAGGGAGAGGGACAAGCAGACTCCCTGATGAGCGTGGTGCCCAATGCAGGGCCGATCGCAGGACCCTGAGATCATGACCCAACCTGAAATCAGACACTTAACTGACTGAGTCACCCAGGTGCCCCAGGAAATCAGCCTTTTAAGACAAGAACTCGGATGCCATCAAGGAAAATCACAACCATCTAAAGGCCAAATTTATATATCTCTATATAATGTTATAAAGGTCATATTTCTACATTCACAAGAATACTGTAAACAAAATTTTAAAAAATGACAAACTGGAGAAAAATATTTGCAAATATGGAACTGACAAAAGGCTTATTTCTTTAATGTGAAAGAGCCACAATAGATATCTAAATATAACAACCAAACACAAAAAGTAGGCAATCCACAGATTGTACGAAATTGCTATTTCATAGTAAGTTCGATAGAACTAGCTCAGAAATTTATGTCAAGTTGTAAAGGTGCCCATCCTTACTCATAATTTAAAAAGTGCAAATTTGAATAAGTTTACCTATTTGATTAGAAAAGATCAGAAAGTGTTGGAGAAAATGTAAAGCACAATCTTGCTTCAGATCTTGACTAAGTAAAAACAACAGTAAAAAGACATTTTGGAGGTAATTAGGACAATTTTTAACATATTAGATGATACCAGGAAGTTATTGAATAGCTGATTAGCAGTGATGGTGGCATTGTGCTTATGTACGAAAATGTGCACTTTTGACACAAAGGAAGTGACATAAAGCCTGGGATTCACTTTAAAATAACACCTCAAAGAAAACACAAGAGGCTAGATGAAGCAAGATTGCTGGAATCTTAATTATTGAGTCTGGGTGATGGATATATGAGGGTTCCTTGTTTTATTCTCTCTAGTTTGGGGTACGTTTACAGTCTTTCTTTAAAAAATACGTTGTATAGGGGCACCTGGCTGGCTCAGTCAGTGGAGCATGCTACTCATGATTTCAGGATCATGAGTTCAAGCCCCACACTGGGTGCAGAACTTAACTTGATGAACTAATCAATTATTAATGAGTACATTTTATAAACAGTGTGAGACAGTGAACAAACAGGTACCCTCAGACATAGTGGGAGGGTGTACAAACGGATGCCCCCGTGGGATGGCCATTGAAAAGGCATTACTTGGGACCCCTGGGTGGCTCAGCGGTTGAGCACCTGCCTTCAGCCCAGGATGTGATCCTGGAGACCCGGGATCGAGTCCCACATCGAGCTCCCTGCATGGAGCCTGCTTCTCCCTCTGCCTGTGTCTCTGCCTCTCTCTCTCTCTCTCTCTCTCTCTCTCTCTCTGTGTGTGTGTGTGTGTCTCATGAATAAATAAATAAAATCTTTTAAAAAAGAAGAGAGAGAGAGAGAAGGGATTACTATTAAGGACACTCCTAGGGATCCCTGGGTGGCGCAGCGGTTTAGCGCCTGCCTTTGGCCCAGGGCGCGATCCTGGAGACCCGGGATCGAATCCCACGTCAGGCTCCCGGTGTATGGAGCCTGCTTCTCCCTCTGCCTGTGTCTCTGCCTCTCTCTCTCTCACTGTGTGCCTATCATAAATAAATAAAACAAAAAAAATTTAAAAAAAAAAAAAAAAAAAAAAAAGGACACTCCTAAAAAAAAAAAGAGAGAGAGAGAGAGAGAGAGAGACTCCTAGACATAAACAGCTGAGTGGTCCTTTTTTTTTTTTTAAGATTTTATTTATCCATTCATGATAAACATAGAGAGAGAGGCAGAGATACAGGCAGAGGGAGAAGCAGGCTCCACGCAGGGAGCCTGACGTGGGACTCGATCCCGGGACTCCAGGATCATGCCCTGGGCTGAAGGCAGGTGCTCAACTGCTGAGCCACCCAGGGATCCCTAAGAGGTTCTTTAAAATCAGAACAGTTCAGCCAGCGCCAGCACCTTGAGCAGGTTCAAAGGTAAATCCCAATATCTAGACAAAGGGATGTTGGAGGTTAAAAAACAAGATCAAGAACACCAGACTCATAAATAAATAAAATCTTAAAAAAATGAAAATAAAAAATAAAGGGATGCCTGGGTGGCTCAGTGGTTCAGGGCCTGATCCTGAGGTCCTGGGATCGAGTCCCACATCAGGCTCCCCACAGGGAGCCAGCTTCTCTCTGCCTGTGTCTCTGCCTCTCTCTGTGTATCTCTCATGAATAAATCAATAAAATCTTTTTTAAAAAAAAAATATATATATATATATACAGCAGACCCAAGACATCGGATACACCTCTCCAACTAAAGCATCCCTTAGATGGTGGCTCCAAACCTGAAAGCACACCCAAATCATCCTGAGGACCACACGGAAACACGGATCCCTGGGCCCCACTCCAGACCTACTGAATTGGGGTATCTCGAAGTGAGACCCAGGAACCTGCTGTTTCCAGACAGCTTAGGTGAGCAAGCTCTCGGCAGGCAGGCCTGGGAACTCCTGATGCGAACCCCCTTTGCTGCCCTTTTGCAGATGCAAGTGTGGGACACCGCAGGTCAGGAGCGCTTCCGGACCATCACTCAAAGCTACTACCGCAGTGCCCACGCGGCCATCATCGCCTACGACCTCACCCGACGGTCGACCTTCGAGTCTGTTCCTCACTGGATCCACGAGATAGAAAAATACGGAGCGGCAAACTTGGTCATTATGCTGATTGGTATGGCGTTTTCGAAGCATTTAGCTTTTCTGTCCTGCCCCCCTCTGCTGATGCTCAGCTTTTATATGCTTCTGACGGCAAGGGAACAGGGAATCCTAAACGTGCAGGTGGTGACGGGACCTCGGAAAGCATTCGGCTTAGAATTCCCATCAGATCCACTTGAGAATGGGGGTGGTGGGAAGGGATGCGGACTTGTTGATAATACAGATTCCAAGGCCCACCCTAGAGTGTCTCCTCCCGGAGACCTGGGATGGGGTCCGGGCTTCTCTATGAAGACATCCCCAACTGATTTGATGCAAACGTGTGTAGACCACACGGGAAATACCCTGCAGTCTGAGGTTTACAGTATCAGATGGGCTTCAAATCCCCAAGGGAGCCACTCCGAGGCGGGTGACTGACTATCCGTGAATGACTCCCTACACCTGCTAGGACCCTAAGCCAATATTTTTTTTTTAAGATTATATTTATTTATTCATGAGAGACACACACAGAGAGGCAGAGACACGGGCAGAGGGAGAAGCAGGCTCCCTGCAGGCAGACAAATGTGGGACTCGATCCCGGGTCTCCAAGATCACGCCCTAGGCTGCAGGCGGCATTAAACCGCTGTGCCACAAGGGCTGCCCCCCTAAGCCAATCTTTTTTTTTTTATAGTAAGTTTATTTTTTATTGGTGTTCAATTTGCCAACATACAGAATAACACCCAGTGCTCATCCCATCAACTGCCCCCCTCAGTGCCCGTCACCCCTAAGCCAATCTTAACGAAAAACCACCATCAAAATTAGCAGCAACTTCAACTGCACCAAGGAAACTGCCAGCTTAAGATGTGAGCCGTCCTATTGAACATTCAGACGGTGTAAGGTTTCCATCCCTTCTCTGTAGTTTCAGTTTTGCAAACGGAGCTGCCTTTTCCTTCCTCCTGTCCACACGGCTATTAACCAAGTGGCTGCTAAATTTTGGCAAGATTGTTTAGGCCCTTGCTACTCAGAGTGTGGCCCACGGACCAGCAGTTACCAGCTGAGGTTTGTTAAAAAGTGCAAGCTCTCAGGCCCCATCCCAGGCTTAGTAAATCAGAAGCTTCATTTTAAGAGGAAAAGAGATTCATAGGCAAATGGAAGTTTGCACAGCACCAGCCTAGACAGCTACCTGGGAGATTGACAAAGAGCTAAACGTATCATGTTTAATGGCTTATTCATCCTGTGACAAGCATGGCCTAGCTCTGCGGCTGGCCACCCTCTGAGCCTTAGTTCCTGATCTATAAGATGTGACTAATACTTAGTGGGTTGTAAAAATGTAATGAGAAACTGTACATAAATTGCTTAGCAGTGCCTGGAACCAGGTAAATGCTTACTAAACTATAGGATTTGTTCTAGGACGTTTGTTTGAGGATCTGACTCATCTCTGTTCCAAAGAATTCAGGGCTTATGGTGAGGGGGCGACTTCCTAGGACCTAGGAGAAGCCAGAGGTTGAGCCCCAGCCAGAGCAGGAGCCAGTGGAGCCAGCCCCCCCCCTCTGACAAGCATCCTCCTCTCAGGACCTGGGGCCTGGGAATCAGCTTCCTTGCACTGTATTGTGTACCTGTTTTCCCTCCCTCAGAGCTGTTTCTCACTGCAGGAGTAGTGGGGGCTGCCCCCATTTACCCTGGAATCCTCACTCATGGAGTTTCTGACATCATCCCCCCCTCACTCTGGCCACAAACCTCATTCTCTCAGTATCCGCTTGCTCACATTCCTCAGAAAGGGAATCCCACTGCCCCCCCCCCTTCCTTCTTTTCATGGCAAAGCATGACCCAGGCTGCTGGCCTACCCAAGGATGGGCGGGCCTGGGGTAAGGTGCCTACCTGAGACCAAGCAGCTGGGCCCCAGTGGAGAATCAGTCACAGGATGCGAAGCCTGGACTCTGGTGGGGCTCTAGAAGTCACTGGCGTGTGTAGCCCATTCATTATTACTGGCACATCCAGCCCATTCATTATTACTATCAGGATTCCAGAAAGGACGTTTTGCTTCATAGTTCGGCCCCTGTCCTATGCACAGACTTGAAGGGAATGCTGCTTTGGAACTCATGCTGCTCCTCCGAGCTTGAGAAACAAAGTCATTCCAAGAGCCTAGAGTGGCTGCCTCCTTCCTGCTGCATCAGATCAAAACCTCCAGATTCCATAGTCTGTTGCCCAAGTAGATGCCCCTCCCCCTGGGTCCCCTCCTTTTCTCAGAGGGGCTTGCCCACCTGGCAGACACCAGGGAAGAGGGATTAGCGAGGCTTCCCCCACGGAGGGCACCTTATCTCTCTGGGAGGAGTGAGGTGCCTCTCTCCTGTAGCTTCTCACCCCAAGACTCCCTTTGGGATCAGAAACTTTCTTTTTAAAAAAAAAAATTATTTATTCACGAGAGACACACAGAGAGGCAGAGACACAGGCAGAGAGAGAAGCAGGGAGCCTGACATGGGACTCGATCCTGGGACTCCAGGATCACTCCCTGGGCCGAAGGTGGCACCAAACCGCTGAGCCACCCGGGCTGCCCCTGGAATCAGAAACTTTCATAATTTGACTTCTGGTATAAAGGACGCTTCTACAAGCAGAGTTCAGGGTTAGAGAAATAAACACTGACCCTGTAAAGACCCATATTTCTTCCCCATCAACCACTTCTGGGAAGCGCGAAGGAGGATGCTCACCGAGGGGTCCTGCATCCTTCAGGACAGCTGCTTCCTGAGGAGCAGGGCCCCAGCCCTGGGGTGTGAGGACCAGGAGGGTTGCTAGGAAGATGCTGATGACAAGTGACACAAAACACTTAGGCAGCTCCGGGTGCAATTCTGAGCCCTCTCCTGAGTCACTGCATGTAACTGGACTTTGGAGTCAGGTTTGGGTTTCTGCCCTTCTCCTCTGCACTTGGACTCATTACTCTCTCTAAATTTCCACTTCCTCCTCTACTAAACTGATACCTGCTGCAGGTGTGTTGTTGGGTTGGTGGCTACAGGAAGCACTTAGCGCGGTGCTAAGATCCCAGTGAGGGGAAGCCGTTATTTCCTGGCGGAGCAGGTGAAGCTCCACTGGCCAGAGGGGCTCCGAGGCCCACGGCCCACAAGGCGTAGCTCCCAGAGAAGGGGCACCCAAGGGTGAAAAATGTGCATCTCACTAATCACACTTGGGGTTTCCCCAGGAAGGGGGACCGGATCTCTTTTCCATTAAATTCCCGCTTCTCACAATGAAGTAGTCCTTCCTCCAGGCCTGGAAGCTGCTCGCCCCCAGGCCCCCTCCCTTCTCAGCTCTCTTTGGAAGACACCGCCCTTTCTCCAAGGTGCTGGGCCTCCCTGGCTGACGCCCCCCAGCGCCCTCCTGAACTACTAGTTCCTCTGCCACAGACACAGATGGGGACAGGAGGGGGTAACAAATACTAAGATGTTGCAGGATTTCCCGGAAGCTCACAGCTATGGTGGTTTCATGGCCAGGTCTGTGGCTCCTCACAACCACCTCTGCCTCACTTTGTCACTGGTCCTAGAAATCCCCCCAAAGATGATCAGGATGTGTCAGTTTATGACGTGCCCAATCCCAAGGGCTGACATATCGGGTCCTCCTGTTTTCTCTCCGTGGCCTCCTCCCCTTAGTCTAGAAAAGTCAGCTGTGCTGCTCCCTCACAGAAGTGTCCTCGCCCCCTTACTCTATTTCTTTACACAAGGGTCTCTCTCTCTCTCACAAGTTTACTGCAGCCCCTCACAGACATTTACACAAATGTCAGAGAGAGGCTTGGGCACCGATTTATACTGCTCCTCCTCTCCGGCCATTTACAGGAAGATCAGCGCCCCCCCCAACTTGGGGTCCCTCTGTTTCAAATCCGCGGTGGCCCCCATTGCCCTCAAGAGAGCATACGAATTCCTGCGCACAACAGACAGGTGCCCTCCCTGCTTTCCTCCCAGAGAAGGCCGGCTCTTACCCTTTTCTCATCCCTTGTGCTCTTTGTGACCTCCTGGCTCTTGGTACTCTCCATCAGAGTGAGGTGTTCAGGAGCCAGCTTCCTGTTATAGGCTACACAGGGTGTTCTCCTAACTTCCCTGGGCACCTGCTGTGTGACCCCTTAGGACTTCAGGCAGACCTTCCCCTTAAACTGCCGTTGTATTTCCAGGTCCACGGTCTCTCAGCAAAAGCTCTCTGTGCCTAAGGTATAGGCGTTCAGAATTTGCCAGATCTTAGGAGAATGCGTTCTATGTTACACAACACCCTCAGCAGGTCTGGGCCAACCCCCCCCCCCCCGCCCCAGGTCAAATGCATGAGTGTTTATACAGTGCACTGAATCGTGTGTGAATGGTCATACAAAGCAGGGTGAATGAAAACTTCAGATGCCAGTTTAAGGCAGACTTTACTGTCAAAGGAATTACCAGAAAACCAGAGTTTCTGAGCTTTTAGGATTTAGGAAATGTGGACCAGGGATTATATGCCTGTACTTCTACCAACTGTTACCTTTCACCTGGTCCTTGACGTATATTATTTCATGGCCTATCTTGGATCAGAAAATTCTGGTACAGTTATTTTTTTAAGATTTTATTTATTTATTCATGAGAGACACAGAGAGAGTTAGAGACACCGGCAGAGGGAGAAGCAGGCTCCCTGCAGGGAGCCCGATGGGGGACTCGATGGGGGACTTGATCCTGGGACTCCAGGATCACACCCTGAGTTGAAGGCAGATGCCCAACCGCTGAGCCACCCAGGGGTCCCCTGGTAGTTACTGAGCTGTGTGTGTGTCTTGTCTCCTTGACAAGATGAAGAACCCCTGCGTTCAGGCAGGGCCATCTCACTGGGCGCCCAACACGCAGCACTTAGCAAGCGAGGACTCAGATTGCAAGTGGCAAACACACGGTTTCTCTCCCTTCCACCGGGTGTCCGGCTCGTCCTGAGGTGTGCGGCCCCCAGCTGTGGAGAGGCTGGGCAGTGGACAGTCAGTGCTCTAACCTGCTGTGGCGATAGGGCAGGTTAGGGGAGCAGGTCATAAAAGGCAGACCGAGGGCAATCAAGCCCAGAACCCACAGCTCAAAGTGAGGGATGCCCAGGGCAGACCCGACTCCCCGCTCAGGGACTCCCACTCCTACATCCCTCCCCCCACCAAGGGGCTCTCACATCTTCCTTCCAGAAGCAGAGCCCCGGCGGAGCTTAAGCCTCCCTGGCTGTAACTATGCATGCAGCCGTCTTGAAGGTGTGTACCGGGGTTAGTTTGCAGTGGCTGCTGTCATAAATACCATAAACGGAGCAGCTTGAAATCGTGGGCAGGTGTTCTCTCGCAATCCTGGAGGCCAGAAATCAACTCAGAATCTCTAGGCCCAAATCAAGTCTCTGGGGGGTCTAGGGGAGACTCTGCTCTTGGCCTCTTCCAGCTTCTGGCGGCTGCCACCATTCTTTGTTGTGGCCGCAACATCCAGCGTGCACGTCCTTCTTCACCTCACTTCCTCTGTGTGTGTAAAGTCTCCCCCCACCCTGCTCATCAGGATCCATGTGGCTGTATTTGGGGCCCATCTGGTTAATCCAGGTTTCTCTCCCCATCTTGAGATTCTTTTTTTTTTTTTTTTATGATAGTCACAGAGGGAGAGAGAGAGGCAGAGACACAGGCAGAGGGAGAAGCAGGCTCCATGCACCAGGAGCCCAACGTGGGATTCGATCCCAGGTCTCCAGGATCGCGCCCTGGGCCAAAGGCAGGCGCTAAACCGCTGCGCCACCCAGGGTTCCCTTGAGATTCTTCATAACATCTGCAAAGACCAGAGATTAGAACCTAGTGTCTCTGGGAGTCAGTTTTCAGCCCACCACCGTAAAAGCAGGCAGGCAGCGTCTCAGACTGAACACAGTTGGAAGGAAGATTCCTTTGGCCCTGAGCCAACGTGGCCTGACAGAGGGACGGAGTCCTGCAGCCTGTGGCCTGGGTCGGCATGAGCCACCCTCTGGCCTGGGGCCTCCGCACTGGCCAGCGGGGACAGAGGGCAGCAGCCGGACTGCCGTTAGCTGTGCTCCCTGCGGTCACTTCTCGCCAACAAGGCCTGAGCCCTTTGTCAGCGATGTGTGTTACAAACATGTTTTTTATCCTGTGGGTGGCTGTGTCACTCTCCTGATGGTGTATTTGTTTTCTGAGATTTTAGTTTTAGGGCACGTGGTTGGCTCAGTCAGTTAAGCGTCTAACTCTTGATCTCAGCTCAGGTCTGGATCTCAGGGTCGTGAGTTCAAGTTCTGCATTGGACTCCACACTGAGGGCAGAGCCTACTTAAAAAAAATTTTTTTTTTGGGGGGGCAGCCCTGGTGGTGAAGCGTTTTAGCGCCGCCTACAGCCCAGGGTGTGATCCTGGGGACCCAGGATCAAGTCCCACATCAGGCTCCTCGCATGGAGCCTGCTTCTCTCTCTGCCTGTGTCTCTGCCTCTCTGTGTGTGTGTGTGTGTGTGTGTGTCTCTCATGAATAAATAAATAAAATCTTTAAAAATTTTTTTTAATTTTTAAGTAATCTCTACACCCAATATGGGGCTCAAAAATTTTTTTTAAGATTTTATTTATTTATTCATGAAAGAGAGAGAGAGGCAGAGGGAGAATCAGGCTCCATGCAGGAAGCCTGATGTGGGACTCGATCCCGGGACTCCAGGATCAAATTTTCCTTCTTCCAGGATCCCTGTGAACTTGTTTTTGAGTTTTTAGTCTACTCTGCTGATCTATTTCATTTGTTCTGTGGGGCAAAAGTGCTTCGGACACCACCACGGCTTGTGTCCTCCAAAGGACCAGATATACAGTGTATCTACGGTACTAAATTTTCTTTTTTTTTTTTTTTTTGGTACTAAATTTTCATGAGATCTATATACAAATGTTCGTAGCCACTCTATCATAATAGCTGAAAACTAGAATCAACTCCATTTCTTCAAATGGATGGACACTTAAACTCTGGTCCACTCATACCACGAACTATCACCCTGCAGTAAGAGGAATAAATTACCAACACATACTTGGATGGATCTCAAGGGAATTACCCTGAGTGAAAAAAGACAATCTCAAAAGGTGACACCCTGTATGACTCCATCTCTGTGACATTCCTGAAATAACAAAATTGTGGTGATGGAGAATGGATTCATGGTTGGGGGTTAGAAGTGATGGGAGGTTGCAAAACAATGGCATGAAGGAGCGCTCTGTGTGATGGAACTGTTCTGTATCTTGGCTGCAGTGGTGGGTGGAGGGATGTACACGTGTGATAAAATCGCACACGATTTTACACGTGCACACACATGTGCACACACACTCCTTTGCAGGAGTGCACTGTGTAAGTGCTGAAATCTGCAGAGGCTTTGTGGGATGGGCCAATGTTCATTTCCTGATTTTGAAGTCGGACTATAGTTACCCAAGAGGTTACCCATGGGGAAGTAGGGGGAGCGGTACTTGAGATCTCCCTGAAGCACCTCCTTCAAACACCTGTGAGTCTGTAATTGTTTCAAAATTAAACGTTTTAAAGGCTTTCATGGTGGGAAGGGTTAATTATGGGGAAAAGGGATCTAAAAAGGCTCCTTTAGGGGCAAAAAACAAGTTGAGAAACACCAGTCTGGCCTGTCTTAATTACTGTAGCTTTGTAATCAATCCTGATGTCTAGTGGAACAGACCCCGTAGGAGAACAATTTTACCTTGAGATTCCTGCCTCAGAGGAATCAAAGTCCGATGACTGGATGATTGTGGGGTTGAAGTGGAAAAGCAAGAGAGAGGGGTCACTTTTCCTTCTGTAACCAGTCCTGGGCCAGGCTCACAAAACCCCTCACTGAGCTTTCTTTTCTTTCTCTTCCTTTCTTCCTTCCTTTCTTTCTTTCTTTTTTGAATATTTAGTTTATTTATTCATGAGAGACACAGAGAGAGGGAGACACACAGGCAGAGGGAGAAGCAGGCTCCATGCAGGGAGCCAAGGTGGGACTCGATCCCGGGACTCCAGGATCACGCCCTGGGCTAAAGGCAGGTGCTCAATGGCTGAGCCACCCAGGTGCCCCCCTCACTGAACTCTGGGGTAACTTGGAATGTTCTATAACTCCGAGGGGAATAGCAATAGTTACAGCATGAACTGCACACTCACAGTCCACATCCTATTGTATGTAAGGGATAGCTAAATCCTGCATTTTCCATTCTGCCTCTTCAATCCAGCAAGTCCTCATCACCATCTCCTCAGCTAGACCCCCTCCCACCACAGCTTCCAACACTTTGTGGTTTGGAAAAGAGCGGAAAGAGAAACAAGATTGGAAGGAAGAAGAGAGAAGATCAAGAGACTCCCTCTGGCACAGTCTTTACCTTGTTAGACCTAGAAGGAATGACGGCCCCTCCCTCCAACACGGAGGCTCCACCTGTCTGCCAGTAAAGCACACACCTCCCACCCCCTTCTCATGGCTCCTAAAGATCACATTTGATCTTTTTTTTTTTTTTACATTTGATCATTTGATAGTGATTTAAGACAGCGGCTCTGTTTCCATCCACCAGCGGTTTCATTTTCGGTAAATCTGCCCACAATTGCCGTTTATGATTGAATCATATGTGAATATTGCCCAAGGAAAATGTTTCTTTTTAAAAAAATTTTTAAAGATTTTATTTATTCATGAGAAACAAAGAGAGAGAGGCAGAGACACAGGCAGAGGGAGAAGCAGGCTCTGATACAGAACTTGATTCTGGAGGACCCCGGGATCACGCCCTGAGCCGAAGGCAGGTGCTCAACCCACTGAGCCACCGAGGCACCTGAAAATATTTCTTTTAAAGGTTCATTTAAAAAAAAAACAAACAGGGGATCCCTGAGTGGCTCAGCGGTTTGGCGCCTCCCTTGGGCCCAGGGCGTGATCCTACAGTCTAGGGATCGAGTCCCGCGTTGGGCTCCTTGCGTGGGGCCTGCTTCTCCCTTTGCCTGTCTCAATCTCTCTCTCTCTCTCTCTCTCTCTCTCTCTCTCTCTCTCTCTGTGTGTGTGTGTGTGTCTCTCATAAATAAATAAATAAATAAAATCTTAAAAAATATATAACAAGCAAAACAAAACAAAGACCAGATTCAGTTTCTCAGTGGAATATTTGCTTCTCTCTCCCTCCCAGGGAACAAATGTGACCTGTGGGAAAAGCGGCACGTCCTGTTTGAGGATGCCTGCACCCTGGCTGAGAAATACGGCCTCCTTGCTGTGTTAGAGACATCTGCCAAGGAGTCTAAGAACGTAGACGAGGTCTTCACGCTGATGGCCAGGGAGCTGATCGCCCGCAACAGCCTGCACTTACTTGGGGAGCGCACCCTGGACAGCCCGGCCCTGGATTCCAGGCCCGTCGTCCTGGCCCAGGGCCCGAAGGAGAAGACCCACTGCATGTGCTGAATATGTTCACGAGGCCGGTTGCACCCACCGGTGCCGCCTCTGACACCCAAGGCAGCCGGATACCCTGCTGTCCACCACCTTGCATCTCAGACCAAAGCCCAGACTTGCGCTGGTCCTTAAACCCTTCCCGCCCCATAGGGAGCAGTTTGCCTCGATTCACAGCAGAGGCCAGACCTGTGGACTCAGTGAAGCGACACCACTGTTCCCCTCCATTCTGCTGATTCCGCTTAGGCCTCGGGGCGCAGGGGTAGGAAGACAGGTCTGCTCCTCGTTATCCTTCCATTTGGTCTCCCCAACCCTTCAACTATTTTCTACTGAATTTTGCTTCTCGCTGGAAGAAGAGGGTAGTGAAGGAAAGAATAAAGGAGGAATATCAAGAGAGGGGAGAGGATGTTTAGAACATTCCAGCTCAGGCAGGAGGGATGGGAAAAAAGCCTGCAGTGATAAACTGTTAACTGTTGTTACCTTTTGCTTCCTGATAGTCACACCTCAGGTCTTTTGTTTGGGGAGCAAAGCCTTTCACATAAAGACCATAAATACTGTCTTGCCAAATGGTCAAGAGCCATGTGATGGAGACAGAGGTGGATCTCTCTTTATCCTAGTTGGGCTGATGTGACCACCCTCCTAGAATGTGGGAGATGCCTACAATTTCTTTCTAAAATACCAGATTAAAATAATAATAATAATAAAATACCAGATTATCTGCTGGATAAAAACTCACTTCTGAATTGAAATTCAGTTGGCTCAGAGATGACTATCAAGCCAGTATTGACCTCACTGTGTGGCCAGTGTGTGTGCCGTGTATCCTCCAGAACCTGTGAGTAATAAACATTGTTTTTTCAAAGTTCCCTGATGGTTGTTGCTGAGGCACATCTTGTAATCATAAGAACCACAAGGGCGGGTCCAACCGCAGCAAAGGCTCTGAATCAGGAGAGGTCTGTGTGGACTCACCTCTCAGTACTATGGATAGGCTGAGACCAGCACAAAACAGGTAGCCACTAACCATGTGTGTGGCTCTTGAGTACTTGAAATGTGGCTAATTCAAGTTGGAGATGAGCTCTTAGTGTAAAATATTTTGAACACTTAGTACAAAAAAAAAAGTTTAAGGAGTCTTACAATAATTTTATATTGATTATATTTTATAATGTTATTTTATTTTATTAAAGATTCTATTTATTTATTTATTTATTTATTTGAGAGAGAGAGACAGGAGAGAGAGCACAGCAGAAGAGGGAGAAGCAGACTCTGCTGAGCAGGGAGCCTGACCAGGAGCTCAATCCCAGGACCCTGGGATCACGACCTGAGCTAAAGGCAGGCGCTTAACCAACTGAGCCACCCAGGAGTCCCTGAAATGATATTTTGGATAAATTAGGTTAAAAAACATATTATTAAAATTTCACCTGCTTGGTTTTCTTTTTTACTTTTTAAATGTGGCTACTAGAAATATTAAAATTACATATGCGGCTCACACCATACATCTATCAGACAGTACAGTAAAGCAATGCTCCTCAAAGTGTAGTTCGCCAACTAGACATATAAGAGTGGCCAGGGGACACTTGTTATGGATTCTTGAGGCCCCTCAGTGACAGAATCAGAATCTTTTCACAAATCCACATCCACCCAAGCCTGCCCGGTGCTTCTTCCCCACACTGAAACTTTCAGATGCCTAATGTGCAGAGGCTGGGGGCTTAGGAGGGAGATCATAGAGAATTAATCACATTTTCATTCATTGCACTTTATATTTCTTGTTGAAATAAGCCACCTACCTTTAGGAAACATGAGGGGAAATCTCACTACACGCCACACAATGAACGCATCATAGGACCACGTCCTGAGCTGAAGGCAGACACTCAACCACCGAGCCACCCAGGTGCAGCAGGATTTAACATATTCCTGTCAACAGGGTGCACGTGTGAGAACAAGGCCACTGAACAGCAGCAAACTGTCATTAGCCAGCCGGGGATTCTGTTGAAATTATAGTCCTTGGACAGAAACCCTCAAGTTCCCTGAACAGGCCTTGAAAGGCTCTCCAGTGTGGGGTGGTGTCATTAGCGCCGCCTTCAGCCCCGGGCGTGATCCTGGAGACCCAGGATCAAGTCCCACGTCGGGCTCCCTGCATGGAGCCTGCTTCTCCCTCTGCCTGTGTCTCTGCCTCTCTCTCTCTCTCTCTGTGTGTGTCTCTCATGAGTGAATAAATGAAATCTTTAAAAAAAAATAAAAATAAAACAAATAAAGAGAAGCACAGGCTTTCCTGGGGCTCAGGGCCGTCTCATGCCCAGCACCAAAGCCAGCTCAGGAGGCTCCCCGCTAGAGCCCCACTCCGGGAAGGCTGTGAGTTATATCGAATTCTCGCATTTTTCTCACTTTTCCCAAATTATATAGCTGGTAGCAAGTGAGTTATGAGATAAGCCCCAAAAGGAAAAAAAAAAAAAAGCTCCAAAAGGGACATTTTGGAAGAATAATAAGATTGCACACGTCTCTATTTTGTCTGCCAATGTCAAGTACTTTTCCACGTGTGAGGAAATCTTTCAGTTAATATTTCATTGTTTGTAGACTATTTCTGAATCTCTTCCCCATTCTGTTACTGAAAAGACCTATTAGTAATAATAGGAATATTACTACAATAGTATTATAATGGCAAACACAGGGCAGCCCCGGTGGCCCAGCGATTTAGCCCTTGCCTTCAGCCGAGGGCGTGACCCTGGAGACCCAGATAGAGTCCCGTGTCGGGCTCCCTGCATGGGGCCTGCTTCTCCCTCTGTGTCTCTCATAAATAAATAATTAAAATCTTTTTAAAAAATGTTGAATTAAAAAAAATTTTAATCTTCAAAAAAAAAAATAAAAAAAAGGCAAACACATATAGTAATTACTATGTGCCCAGCACACAGTACCACTTTATTGATACTAACTCGATGAATCCTGCCTACTATCTTTTGAAGCAGGTACTATTTATAATTCCTATTTTACAATGACGATATAAAACACAGAGAGACTGCTAGTAAGTAACAAAGGCAGGATTCAAACCCAAACAATCTGGTTCCAGAGCCCACTAGTAGCAAGAAGACTCTGCTCCCACACCAGATAATGACCAGTATCAGATTTGGGTTCCGTCCTATTTTTTTTTTAAGGGAGAGGCTATTTTTTTTTTTAAAGATTCTATTTAGGGATGCCTGGATGGCTCAGTGGTTGAGCACCTGCCTTTGGCTCAGGGCATGATCCCAGAGTCCCAGGATCGGGTCCTACATCGGGCCTCCTGCATGAAGCCTGCTTCTCCTCTGCCTATGTCTCTGTCTCCCTCTCTCTGTGTCTCTCATGAATAAATAAATAAAATATTTTAAAATAAATAAAAAAGATTCTATTTATTCATGAATCTATTCTATTTATTCAATAGAATCTTTATTTTTTTATTTATTTTTTCAAATATTTTATTTATTTATTCATGAGAGACACAGAGAGACAGAGACACAGGTGGAGGGAGAAGCAGGCTCCATGCAGGGAGCCGGATGTGGGACTCAATTCCAGGACCCCAGGATCACATCCCAGGCCAAAGTCAAGCGTCAAACCACCGAGCCACCCAGGGATCTCCATGGGTTCTGTCCTATTAACCCCTCCTCACACTGTGTAGACACACACACACACACACACACACACACACACACACGGAGGAAAAGAAATACACTTATCCTAAGATATGCTCTCAACCATACATTTCAGTATCCTTCAAAGTCAAGTCATACAGCTCTGCAAGAGAAGCAAGAGAGGGGGAAGGAGGCAGTGTGGGAGGGGCCAAGAATGGAGGAAGGTGAATTAAGCTAGTTCTATCTAACCAGAGGGGAATTAGGGAGGAGCTGGGACAGAATTATGACAGGCCCAGCCTGAGCCCACCTCCTCTTGAACAGGGATGATGTAGAAACTCCACTTTGCTCATAAGCAAGGTTGTCTGGGCGACCCAAGGCCAACTAGGCTGAGTTCTACCCCAGCACAAAGGTTAGATTGGGAGGATGGAGAAGCAAGCCACACATCAATGCTCCCAGCAGGTTGCTTGCAAACCTCCAGGTAATGCAGAAGAGGTTCTGGGATTCATATCAAAGGCAAGAATAGTACCTGCTTCAATTTTTCATTTTGAAAAATAACAGTATCTGTTCAGGAGCCTGTGATTGGGGATCCCTGTGTGGCTCAGCAGTTTAGCGCCTGCCTTTGGCCCAGGGCATGATCCTGGAGTCCCGGGATCGAGACCTGCATCGGGCTCCCTGTGGGGAGCCTGCTTCTCCCTCTGCCTGTGTCTCAGCCTCATTCTCTCTCTCTCATGAACAAATAAATTTTTAAAAATCTAAAAAAAAAAAAAAATAAGAGAGCACAGAGTAGGTGATAATTCTGCAAAATCACCCAAAGATTGCTCATCATCTGACATATAACTTGTATTTACATATCATTATTACTTAATTTTACTTATTCTTTGTTTTAGATTTTTCTTTTTCTTAAAGATTTTTATTGATTTATTCATGAGAGACACACACACACAAAGAAAGAGACAGAGACACAGGCAGAGGGAGAAAGAGGCTCCATGCAGGGAACTCGATGTGGGACTCAATCCCGGGTCTCCAGGATCACACCCTGAGCCAACGGCAGACACTCAACTGCTGAGCCACCCAGATGTCCCTAGATTTTTCCTTTTTTTTAAGATTTTATTTTTATTTTAATTAATTAAGTAAGTAATTTTTAAAGTAGGCTCTGCACCCAGTATGAAACCCAATGCAGGTCTCAAACTCACAACCCCAAGATCAAGAGTCACATACCCTACCGACTAAGCCAGACAGGTGCCCTTAAATTTACTTACTCTAATATAGTGTATAAATATGTCTCTAGAACTTAACAGACCATTGTTTAAAAAAAAAAAAAAAAAGACCAATGTTTAAAAGGGACCATAGAGGGATCCCTGGGTGGCGCAGCGGTTTAGCGCCTGCCTTTGGCCTAGGGTGTGATCCTGGAGACCCGGGATCGAATCCCACATCGGGCTGCTGGTTCATGGAGCCTGCTTCTCCCTCTGCCTGTGTCTCTGCCTCTCTCTGTGTGTGTGTGTGTGTGTGACTATCATAAATAAAAATTTTAAAAAAAAGTTTTTTAAAAAAATAAATAAATAAAAGGGACCATAGAGTGGTGATTATATTCAACTAGTCTTTTCATTTACTGGGATTAAAAATTATCCACACATAATGTGTTAATTTTTAGAAATGTTTGCAAATAGCAGTTACAAAAATAAAATTTAGGGCAGCCCCGGTGGTGCAGCGGTTTAGCGCCGCCTGCAGCCCAGGGCCTGATCCTGGAGACCTAGGATTGAGTCCCGCTTCGGGCTCCTGCATGGAGCCTGCTTCTCCCTCCTCCAGTGTCTCTGCCTCTCTCTCTCTCTCTCTCTCTCTCTCTCTCTCTTTGTCTATCATAAATAAATAAATAAATATTTAAAAAATAAAAAAATAAAAAATAAAATTCATAACATCAGTAAAACATGAAACCATTTTTTTCAAAACCATTTATTTTGGGATCCCTGGGTGGCACAGCGGTTTGGCGCCTGCCTTTGGCCCAGGGCGCGATCCTGGAGACCCAGGATCGAATCCCACATCGGGCTCCCGGTGCATGGAGCCTGCTTCTCCCTCTGCCTGTGTCTCTACCTCTCTCTCTCTCTCTCTCTGTGACTATCATAAATAAATTTTAAAAAAAATCAAAACCATTTATTTTTTAAAGCACAGAATATAGGCATTCACCATAACAGAATGCTGTTTATATTTATATATTTATATTGCTGTTGTCT